TCCTATTTTCTTTTCTGTGGGGCCTTGAATGTTCGAGTATGTGTGTCGCGGAAATCTTATTGTATTTTAAGCGAGTGTGAGTGTGCCGCGATGACTATCGTTTATTTTTAATTTATTAATTATTGCCGCGCGCGCGCCCTCGGGGTCTTTTATCGTTTAACTTACCTATCTGTGATACCCCGAGGGCCGCCGATCACTACCTGCGTCATCCCCCCAGCACGCGAGCTGGGGGGATTATTTAGTACTAATTTGCGCATGCTGGCGGGGAGCGATCCCGCCAGCCACACCAATTTTAGTGCCCACAAGGCGGGGGGGGCTATTGTCCCCCGTCCATATAGTATTTAAATTGCGCGCGGCCTAGCCGCTTTCTTATGTATCCACCCCGGAGGGTGAGATGCCCTCCGGGGAACATTATTTAAAATAAAAGTGGCTTCAATGTCCCCTACAATCAGCGTTAAAATTATCAAACATTGGTACGATTGAACTTGGCTGGGTTAAATCGGTCAAAGTAGAGTTACTACCTGCCAGACCGGTGAGGTGTTTTAGATGTTTCGCTAGGGGTCATACGAGACACAGATGTCCCAGTGAACTGGACAGAACTGGCTACTGTTTTAACTGCGGAGACGCTTCGTACAAAACTTAACTCATGCAAAAATCGCCCAAGCTGTCTTCTCTGTAAGGAGAAAGGACTACCGTATAGCCATAGGGCCGGAAGTGAAATGTGTCCTCCAGTAGCTCCGGGTCCGCTGGTGAATCTAAAGGACAGATCATACAGCGGAGCAGCCTCCCCTGAAAAAAGCAACGAACAGACAGGTAATAACTCTCAAGGGGATTCTATGACCATGGAAATTGCACCTGCGGAAAAGCAATTATGAAGCTAATTCAAATTAACCTCAACAGTTGTTCGGTCGCGCAGGACATATTTATTTACATGATGAAGGAACACGGGGGTTATGCGGCCATAATTTCTGAACCATCTTATACTTACCGTGACAACGTTAGATGGCTTTTATGTAAGGACAATCCTCCTATGGCGGCCTTTTTATACTGTGTACCGTATGTCAGGGAAAGGGAGGACAGGGTTGGCGATACCCTCCTCTCGATTAGACGTAAGAATAAGTTGAGGAGGGAGGCTAAGGACGATCAAAGCCCGGGGGATCATGTTGCAAGGAATCGGTTAGGATTGTATTGGGTACCGCGACCATTAAATCTGGTCTATTATCACATTGGGTCATGCCATATTCGCTTCTTAGATCTTTAATGCTCGTTTCTATGCCCTAGGGAATTTATTTTCCCTGGATCCCGGTCTGTTCAAGAATTTCATGTGATAGCCTTACATTATACGAATTGTCCTAATTCGAGTATGTTCAACTGTTGCTGTGCCCGAATGTGACTATGGGCTCATTCTTATGAACCGCATTCTGCCCTCTTGATTGGTTGATTATTCAGGGCCTGCAATTGGATGACTGAAAGGATGATTGAATAAACGAGCGAATAAATGAATTCTTTCAAAGAGTATGTACAGGGAATACATTGTTTTCATTCTTAATTTCGACTTCCGCATATTACGCAATATAGGTTTTCAATTAATTAATTAGTAGCATGGTTCTTCGTGGCGAATTAAACCACCCACTCACCTGTATATAATTATTTATTTATGCATACTTTTATTCATTTATTTATTATTATTTTATTACTTATTTTCATTATTTATTTATTAACGTTTTCTGTATCTATCTATCTGTTATCTTCCTCGAAATAAATATGGTACGTCCCTTGATGCGTCTGTTGCCCATTACTGGGCCATGACCAAAGGGGGAGGGTTCGTGATGAGTTGTTTCGTCAACGTTCCAGGACCCTCCCCCGCTTACGGTCGTGTTGGAAATAGAGGAGGTTAGTGGGCGCTGCTGAGCGGTCTTTCGTCCGACGTGCCGCTCACTCGAATCCCACACTCCCCAACTGTCTTCCGTTGGAGGTCTTGCAAAGATTCCTCCTCTCAAAACAAAAAAAAAGGCCAATATTGGGGATAGACAACATTTGCAAAAAGAAAAGAAGAAATATAATGATTCTTTTCTCTTTCTCTCCCTTTTTCTATATTAATGAATTATATCATTTCTTCTTCGTAAGTTAAAGAGTCTACTTTTAGGTTTTATCGTTTACATGAGTATCCTGAAAAAAAAATTTCTTCTCTTTTCTTAAAAAAGAGGAGAGAAAAGGTTTTATCGTTGTTTTATTGTTATTCTCTCGTCTTTTCTACAATTTTTTTTATAATATATACTTTTTCGCTGAGGTCTGTTCCTAAAACTGAACCGATACATTAACGATTACATGGAAAGAGAAAGAAAAATGTGATAAATATGCTAATTAAAATTCTATAATTAAAATTCACAAATACATAAATAGAATGATTTTCAGTGCAGTAACAACAACAAGCCCTATTCGACAGGATTAATTAATATATTTTAGCGTTAATACGCACATGAACACACATAGTAACAATAATATACGTGAATAAAGATAATATAATTAAATTTCCCATTAATTTCTAAATAAAATATTTTTTTATGCATATTTTTATGTATTATCTTTTTAAATCTTATTTTACTATATTGTTTAAAAGAAAAACAAATATGCTACAAATTTTGGGCAGTATAGCATTATTAAAACTTAATTTCTATGTTAGTCTCACACAACTAATAGCAAATGTGTGTATAAAAATATATAATAATAAGTGTATAAGAGTATATAATAATGTAAGTGTATAATATGTAACCTATATATTTTTATACCTTTATATATATTGAAAGATATTTATTAGATTCGGAAAAAATTAACGGAGACCGACTGGATTTGAACTCGAGATCCCTCGTCTACCAATCCGACACTTAGTCTGCACGACCACGACGGCTCCTCTCTGTTGGCTGTTATATTCCGAATCTCTTTCATGACCGCTTACGGTCGTCTAATTCTTACAGCTCGGCCATTCTGGCATTACATTCGTCCCGGATGTACCAAGTCTTCATCTACCGGAATTTATCCGAAACTTGGAGCTTCTGCTCCCAAATTCGTTCACTTTTTTTTTGAACGATCGACATTGGAGTACTTTTATTCCCCGACTTTTTCCGTTCACTTTTGAACGATCGACACGACATTGGAGTATTTTACTCCACGACTTTTTCCGTTCATTTTTTTTGAACGATCGACACGACATTGGAGTATTTAACTCCCCGACTTGGTTCATTTCGAACAACACACAAACGGCACACACAAAATCGACTGAATTCTCCCTGTCAGGTAACATAGGCTGTATCCTCTCTGAGGTAACATAAGCTGAATCCCACTTCTGAGATTGAAAGATATTTATTAGATTCGGAAAAAATTAACGGAGACCGATTGGATTTGAACTCGGGATCCTTCGTCTACCAATTCGACACTTAGTCTGCACGACCACGACGACTCCTTTCTGTTAGCTGTTTATATTCCGAATCTCTTTCATGACCGCTTACGGTCGTCTAATTCTTACAATATTTTATTCAGACTGACGGGAGTGTATTTCCGATCAGATATCGCTCGATGCGAGCATGTCCTGCTTGAACCAGCGCTCGACGCAGACTTACAAATCCATTTCCTGCTTTATGTTTAACGGTCATTGATATGAGGGCTGCATCATCAGCGAGGGAGTGGACAATTTGAATCTATCCCTCCTGTCCTTCCATTAAGATTTGGCATAGGGTCCTCGTGTCCTGCGGCCACAAAGTCAAGGAACGAGGGGAGCCATGTAAGCTAGTCCGCAGGTAAGAGCTTGCCATGGTAGCTCGTGAAATGCGTTCTCCGCAGAAATATATGTCTGAGTACCTCCTGTAAACGACTCGCCCCCAGTCACGAAGGGCGATCCGGGCTGTTTGTGTATTGGGAAGGATCGCGGTTACGAGGCCTCTCCGCCATGCGTTTCCTTTTTTAACGACTATTATATCGTTTTGTTTCACTCAGGTAATGTAACTGATCCTGTCTTATGATCATTCTTTAATTTAACTCCTGGTGAAGCTTTTCCAAAGCAGTTTCGTTCTTTAGATGGACTCAAAAGAATAACGATGATTGCACTCGCAGAACCTTCACGTTCAAACGTCCGCGTGTTAAGAAATTAGTGTCATATGATTCGATTTCCATTGTTGTTGTTCTAAAAGATTTGGTTATAGCAAACAATAATATATATATAAAAAAAAGAAATATTGTTAGGTAGGGCAAAGAACATTAAAGTTTTTTTTAAGATATTAATATTATTTCTAATCTGCAGTCCGTGTAAATGGGAATACAAGTGTGAAGGTTTCTTTAGTGAGGAGGGGAAGATATATGGGTTGTAGGCCTTGTTGATTTGGTTGTTCGATTGTGTCTAGTTTTTTGCTTATCTCGGCTGGGACCATGGGTTCGGAAGTTTCTTGTTTTTCTTCTTTCCTAAGTGTAATAGAAGTTGGTTTAATGAGTCCCATATGGCTCCTATCAGGTATATTGACCATCCATACACGGTGTGCAGAGCATATCCGTGT